AATGACTAAGCAACTTATATCACCCATTCGGAGGAGGTCCCCTTTGATAGCGAATAGCTACTTTTCTCATTTTCATCAAAAATGATCAAATGATTTTGAGAATGTACAGCACTAACGCTCATTCATTCAAAACAAATAAAGATGAACTAGCCTATGGCTAAAAATCTCTCAAATAAAGAAGAAAAAAATTCAAAACAAATATAGGCAGAATAAACGTGTTGACTGAGCTACTGACTGAGTGCTCGGCTGTCAGTGAGTCGTTTACCTCTCAATCATTCAGACTCACACGAGGTAGTGAATGATGAGGCAGATGGCAGTTCATATTCATATCAAAATGATTCCATGAACCTGACGCACTGATCGAAACTGTAATTGTGATCTGATTTCTTTGTTTGGCTTCCAGTCACATAAAAAGGAAAACAGAAAGTTTATACTCTCTGATTTCCTGTTTATGTGACTGAAAGCGAAGACAACAAATCAAGAAGACTGGCAACTTTGCCAGAATCCAAGCGACAGATACAATGGCGCTGCGTTTGAGTGAAGGTGGAAGCAACACATAGAAAAATGAGCAAATACACAAACCCTTCTTCTGAGGATGTAACCTTTGCTATCAAATTCATTCGAAGCATTTACCTTTGAGCGGCAAATGACGCGACTGTACCTGTCTCATAGCGTTCGTATGAGAAAATGGAAGAGTTGCCAGTCTTCTTGATTTGTAGCCTTCGCTGAAAGCCAAGCCAAGATATCCAAACTATCATCAAAGTCATCAAGTCGGAGTCGGAGTTGATTGATTTAGATGGATCTCAACAGCCCTGATTTGGTTAAACTTCAATTTTTTGCAATTTTTAACCTTTTATCATTCAAGGTTAAGGTCATTTTAGTGTGTCACGGATCCATTTTAAATTTTCTTATACCGTTATAACTGGTTGAAAATTCAAATGCTAGTTTTTATAGCTTAATTTGAATTATCCCGACAAAATTTAAATTCCAGATAATTTGTGCATGAAATTAAAAAAAAATGCCACGTTGTCTGAATGTCTACGACCCACCTGAGACACACAGAACAAACGTTGAGGCACGAAAAAAATGCACAGCTTACACTAGAGACTAAGTGCCGGTAGCACCTAGTGGCAATTTTCAACAGAAAATGTATCGATACTAGCACCAAACTGGTGGAAAGTGGAAAATGTATAAAGTAAATCAGGAGATGCTAGCGCGACTTAACGGCGATGTTCCCACTTTACACAAGTTTCTGGCAGCGGCGCCGGTGGTGTAGTGGTGAGCGTGATTGCCTCTCACCCCAGCAGGCCTGGTTTAAATTCCAGTCGACGCCGCCGGGATGCTCTGAGGCATAACATCTCTGATCACGCCTTCCTTCGGAAGCGACACCTTCGGAAGGGAAGTAAAGCAGTTGGTCCCCGGTTCATGAGTTGATGGGTCGATAGGGGTAGGGTCCAGGTGTGGGAGAGCTGCCTGTCCCCTGGCGTCGGTAGCATTGGTGCTCAGCACGGAAAACAAGATTGACGGAAAACAAATCAAGGAAAAAAAAAACAAGTTTCTGGTGCCTGAGAGTAGCCCTTGACCTACCCGTGGGCCACAACCCGTTGATTTAGAAACGCTGAGCTCGTAAAAGGACCAGCAAACGCACCTAGAACTCTATATGACACACATATAACATTTCACAAGGTTCTATCTGTTTGTATCGATTCTCGTCGTTAATAACTCAGCTGCAAAATCATTCTCCACTTCTATAATAAGCGAAACTAATACACTGAAAATAAAATTTCGTTTATACAACGAAATCGCTCGTTTGTTCTACGAATTTATTCGTTGTTTTCTGCAACGAAATGGATTTGTATATTGTATGAAGCTAGTTTCGTTAGAACTGCCACACTCGCTATAGCTACACCCAACCAGCGGTCCACGAGTGTTGGTTGTGGAAACCGAAAAATGTGGAGTGTGTTAGTGAGGATGGGTAAAAATAACTTCATCATTGGAAGGAATAAATATGACAAAAAATAAAAATAGGCTTTAGACCAGACTCGACTCAGGAACTTTGCGATCGTAAGATCCGTGCTGTATCCATCGCTCTATCTGTGTTATGAGAAATGGTAAAGCTAAAGGCAAATAAGAAGCACTCATGGAGCGGTACTTCGATTTCTATTGCTTTTTCTGCTGCTTGCATGTATTTTTTTTTCTCTTACATAAAACCACCGCGACGAGTAATTTGATTTATTGTGGTAGCTTGCATGTATTGGTCAAACCGACAATATTTCTAAAAAAAATATCCCCTCTCCAACACACTATCAGCACTTTAGGAGACAATAAGCGAAGTTGTTGGTTTGATTGTACGAAGATGTATTTGTACATTATACGAATAAGGCGTAATATTGACATTGCGCCAGATGACAGGAAAAACGAATGTTTCGTACCATTTATGAAAGATGTGTTGTATGTACGATATTCATTTTTACGAAACGGTTTTCAGAGAAATGACGAAAATACATTTTCAGTGTAGCAACAAAGCGATCGTATCAGCTTTTGGTGGTGAATATGTTTACTTACTTAAGGGTCCTGTGCACCACCAGCGGTGCAAAGGGCCAACGTGAAAGACTTCCATCCTGGGCGGCTGCTCGCTTTTGCCTTGACCTGGGCCCAGGTCAGATTTCTATCAACTTGCTTAATTTCCTTATTGAGGCTTCGCCGCCATGAGCCCCTGGGTCTGCCTCTGCTGCGATACCCTGCTGGATTCCAATCCAGCGCTTGCTTGCAGATTTCGTTTCCGCCCCGTCGAAGTGTGTGGCCGACCCACCTCCACTTTTGCTCTCGAATTTCTGTTGCTATCGGCTTCTGATGACATCGACAATGGAGCTCGGCATTCGAGATCCAGTTGTGAGGCCACCAGGCACGAATTATATACCGCAGGCATCGGTTGATGAAGACCTGCAGCTTTTGAGTGTTCTCCGCTGATACACACCACGTCTCGCTGGCGTATAACAACACAGATTTCACGTTCGAGTTGAAAATTCGGATTTTGGTGCGTTGACTTATCTGGTTGGATATCCATACGTTTCGTGAACTCGCAAAGGCAGCCCTAGCCTTCTTGATTCGTGCACCTATGTCGCTCTTGGTCCCGCCGTCCGACGCTATTTGTCAACATCATCAGCCAAATCGAAGTCGTTGAGATGCTCCATGGTGATAGTTCGGTTCGGTACACGGTCAATTGCACCTACCATGATCTCGTCGATTACGATGAGAAATAGTAGCGGTGATAGTATACATCCTTGTCTCACACCAGAGACTACCCGGATAGGGTCGGACAAGGCTCTGTTATGCAGAACTCTGCACGTGAAAGCCTCATACTGCGCTTCGATGAGGTTGACGATTTTATCCGGGACTCCCTTGCGTCTCAGGGCGCCCCACAGATTCTCGTGATTGAGATGGTCGAAAGCTTTTTCGTAGTCAATGAATACCAAATAAAGGGACTCTTGGAATTCATTGACCTGCTCCAGGATGATGCGGAGCGTGACAATATGGTCCACACAAGATCTTCCGGCACGGAATCCTGCCTACTGCCGTCGGAGAGTCGCGTCGATCTTCTCTTGTATCCGATTCAGGATAACTTTGCACAGAACTTTGAGAACAATACACAGTAACATGATGCCTCGCCAATTGTCGCACACAGCCAGATCCCCCTTCTTTGGGACCTTCACTAAGATGCCCTGCATCCAGTCGGCCGGAAAAGTCGCGGTGTCCCAGATATTACAGAATAGTTGATGCAACATTTGTGCGGATAGCATGGGGTCAGCTTTGAGCATCTCTGCTGATATGCGATCGACCCCTGGAGCCTTGTTGGATTTCATGCTTCAGATAGCTGCTTCAATCTCCTGCAGTGATGAGGCCTCGGAATTGACGCGAGTGATGCGCTGCACCCTAGGCGGATCATGCCGAGATGTTGATGGCTGGTTGGCCGTCGAAACTTGAAGAAGTTGTTCGAAGTGCTCAAACCAGCGTTTCAGCTGGTCAGTGGGGTCGGTAAGCAATTGTCCAGTCGTGTCGTGGTGAATATGGGAATCCTCAAAAGTGTGATGAGAGCTGAAATTTTCGCCGTAAGCATAGGAAGAGTACAATATTTTCACCTTTCCTGATTAATTTATCCAACGCAGGTGGTTGTAATCGTCATCCAGGTGGAATATTTTGTTATCTGTAGCGATATTGCAGTGATCCGGCTGGTACTTCCACATATTTTTGTTGATAAAAATGAACATTCATAAAACTATCCCAGCGGTTATGATCTTCCGAATTTGTAATGCATGGTTATTTGAGCTGTAAATCAGTTTAGATCTGTGGATAATCGTAAAATAAGACCACTCCCGATGGAAATTTGCAAGATGTGCAATAAAATATACATTATTTAGAGTTTTCAAAATCGTTATTTTGATGTAAACAGACGGTTTGGATGAAATTTCCTCTCAAAATCACCTGGCGCACTCTACATGGATGGTGGATCAAAAACGCTAATTGGACACTGTATCAAAACTTTCTTTATCGAACTATGTGGCAAAAATAGCACGAAATCTGTTTATATAGCCGTGGTTGTCAAAAGAGAAAGTCTAAGAAGAGTTATTACTAAAAGAGAAAACCCATGAAGAGAATCAATAGTCCCTTATTATTTGAAACGCTAAATATAACATTAGTAAACAAACAAACACACTCAGTTGCGTGCTCTACACAGATAACATCCCCGTAGAAGTATGAACGCTGCTTGGGTCGACAAGAATACGTAAAATCCCCTAGAACCTGTTATTTTCCTTGGCGAATTGCCAATAAATTTCACCGAGCTCAGCAGGATCAAACTCGAACCGATTAAAGCTTAAATTGAAATTGAATTCTGACGTTGTTGTGTCCGGTTCATTGAACCGAATGAGCTAGCAACACATATGAACACACACATGTCCAATCCAAAAGGGGAACGAAAAGGGATCATCATAGCCACTCACCTCTCCTTAGGGCTGCTTAGCCGCCCGTTTGTTCTTAAACGTTCACCGCAATATGATGCAAATACCCTTCAGCACCCGACCTTCAGCAGACGAACTCCAGCGAGCGTACGAGTGAAAGAGAGCGAGGGAAGCTTCCTTATATCCTTTCTAGTTCTGCTAGCTCGCTTGCACCCTGCTGCGTATCCCATGAAATTACGGCTCAAAGCTTGTTATCTTTTCATTTGCACATTTCGCAGAAAGAGCAACTTTTTCACATCGACATAAAACACCATAATGACGCACACACAAACACATGCCCCGCAAGGGGGACACTTTCACTTTAATACTCGGAACCAGTATCGATATTTACTTTGACCAGTATAGGGATCGAATTTTCCACCTAATGGCACACTCACAGCCTACCCAGCCTCACTTATCGAAGGTGGAAACCACCTGCCGAAGATGACTACTACGATGTGCGCGATGATGGATTATCAGTAATCGAAGAATGTATGTTTACATCATTGTGGGCATCGAGGGGGTAGGAAATCACTGTCGCACGACGCGGGTGTCTGCACAATATTTACACTTGGTTTGATATATATTTTGCGATAACTTGCTCTCCCCTTTGCTGCTCACACCATCAAAGGCTTTTCCTGCTAGCATGCGGTGCCGCCGTTTGAGCCTCACGCGATACACACAACACTTCCTGTCGCACCTTCGTCGGCGCTAAATACATCAATTTTCCATCACTCCGCTATATTAATCACTTTTTTTTCCCTCGAGATTCGCCGTCCCGATCCCTCAGAGGGTTGATTCTCCGCCGTTCTTCCTACAGACGGAGTCACTACAAGACGTACGAAGAATCGACGCTTTATCCTTTCAGGTTCGTGTTTTTCATGTGACCGAGTTGTAGGAAAGTGGAAACTTTCAATCCCTAACCACACAAGGGACGTGCAGACAAATTTGGAAATCAAAATCCTTGACAGGAATCTTTCTCTCCCACTTACCGCACCCACTTCCCCATCCTGCAAGTCATCGCTATTCTCACTCTCACCATAGCTGTACTTTTACGCTACACAAATTCCTTCAGGCTATTCACTTTTGTCGGCCCGGATTATCCCGCACAAATCAGGTCGTTTAATTCCTCCATTTTCAACAATGAAACGACTCACTCCTTCGAGTATGACTCAATCAGGGGTCTAGAAAACCACCTTCCATTTGAGTGACAGTAGCCCAATGGAAAAAAAAGAAAACTGTTTCCGACACACCGCCACTTACGATCGCACCGAACACGACATCGAGCCAGTCTGAGTCTGGCAAAGCTAGATGAAAACTGAAAATGGGAATTTTCCCCAACCCCGACCGGAGTGAGAAAATGTCGATTTTTCTCTCGCCCGCATCTCACGACTGGGAAAGCAACATTTTCCCCAAATGCGAAAACGGGATCAATCTAGACAGCCACGCTCTCACAAAAATGATGGCTGAGAAAATCGACGATGCTACCACACGCATACTGCAATCGCTCCTGCCGTGCAGCACAACCACCAGAATGCAAATGTTTTCAGTTTTCACTCGGAACGAGAAATCGGAAAAAGCACTGTCACAATGTTGCAAACATGACACCAACACACACCCAGTCCTACCATAGCTCAAGAGTCCTTCTCTCGGAGAGATGAATAATTCATCAAACTCCAAGAGGGTTGCAGGGGGTGAGAGAAAACTCACGTTTTCCTTCCTTTGGGGAGGAAAAAGCACGGGAAATAAATGTCATCTATCAAAGAGAACGCGATGCGGCGAGTGAGTGAGTAGCAGTCACAGCGTGCGTAAAAACACTCAAAAAAAATGAAATGGAAAAACAGACGCCAAAGAGAAAAACATTCGAGAGAGGAAAAAAAATCGATCGATATGTTTTCCTACCCTCGTTCGGTGGGAATCGTCACCACGGCCGCCTGCTACCACTTGTCCTTTTTGCTTTTTTTTTTGTTTTAGCTGCCTATGCTTATTCTCTTGGGTTTCACCTTCTCCTCCTCGCCGCCGTCATCGTCATCGTCTCTGCTATCTATTTATCATTGGCTTTTCTAGCTCATGGTTTTCCACCCACGGCCCCCGCGAACCGCCCAACGATAAGCATCCGTTCGTTACGCGGTTCAATGCTGCAGACTGGCTGACGGAGCCGAACCGACTCGAATGACGAAGTGGTCGTGTATCGTGGGGACAGGAAACGGTGGATTTTTTGACGGTTGTATATGTTTAGTATGAGCTATTGAACAAAGATTTTACTTACGTCGTGGCAACGCTAGCTGTCAGGCAAATGCTTCATACTTCACAGTAAGAGAGCATGAGTATTATTGACCGCCCGTGGTTACTAGAACTCCGTTATTGCCAGATCAGCTGTAAATTACAAAGAGAATCAGATTTCAAAATACAGTCAACTCTCCATAACACGATATTGAAGGGACCATCGAGTTATAGAATTATCGACGGCTGCTGGAAGTATGCATCTTTAGAATTTATGAAACGACCCATAAAAAATTGAAAAATTTTCCTTGAAAAACACCCAAAGGATCATTTAAAACACCGGTGAAAATCCCTAAAAAAGTGACAATGATGCACTATGAAACACTTTATCATACATGATGATATGATTTTATGTAAAATTTAGCATTACAGTGTAAAAATATACCGCTTAATTTCTAAACAATGGCAATTGAAATTGTACGAATTACCCATAAACATATTGCAAATGATACAGAAAACGTTCAACACTGAAGCAGAGACTAACGAAATTAATCCAAAGATAATCAAGTTTGCCCACTAAAACATATAGTAATCTATCTATCTATCTATCTTCTTCTTCTATCTATCTATATATATAAAAATGAATTTCTGTCTGTCTGTCTGTCTGTCTGACCCTTATAGACTCGGAAACTACTGAACCGATTGGCGTGAAAATTTGTATACAGGGGTTTTTGGGGCCGTGGAAGGTTCTTATGATGGTTCGAGACACCTCCCCCTTCTGTAAGGGGGGGCTCCCATACAAATGAAACAGAAATTTCTGCATAACTCGAGAACTAATCAAGCAAATGGAACCAAATTAGGCATGTGGGGGCGAGTGTGGGGGTATAAGGAGATAATCATAGGGGGTAGCCCCTTAGATAATAGGGGGGGGGGTTAACGTACCATATAGCATGCTTTTTTTTTTTTAATCGGCGCATAAACCCAAGCTAATATTGAATCCCGAGCAAGACCGGGCACACTCAGCTAGTGATCCATAAATTAGACGCATATTTTTGGTTTTGGATATAAACCTTGGGGAATTGCTCCATATATATTATATATTTTCATTATATAAATAAATACTGGGTCATTCAAACTGAAACTGGACGATGGTATGATTGACAGCCGGAGTCTAGGAGGGAATAAACACTATCATTTTCTTTATCCTACCGATTCGATTGTGGTGATGTGAATTCTACTCCAACAGTTTCAGGGCGATTGACGCGCCCTTCTTAACAAATCATCCATTAGGAAGCTTAATAATTATTGCGAATTGTGTTATTCGATTTGTTGGAGCGTATCGTTGGAAGGAGATTCTTAAATTCCCGCGGATTTCGCGTATGAGTCTCTACTTACGGGTCCGCACCTCCGTTTTTGGCCCTTCATACAGCGATATTGTGAATTCAAATCGGTAGCTCAAATTGATCTTGCTATTAAGTGGAGCTGCATACAAGACAAGTCTTGAAGGAATGGTGGCTACCTTACATACACACTTAGAAAAAATCATGTAAGTTTAGGTGCTCTGAGACTGACATATACGAGCGTCATTTTTGACATAAATTTGAGTCATAACAGACGCGAAATATAGCTTAATCAAACGTACTTTTCATCGAGCAACGAACTTTTCAGTCTCGGAGCACTTAAAATTACAAGACACGTTTGTTTACGTTTCATATGTTATGTCATAGATGGATTCCGTCACGTATAAAATTAGTTTTTTCTAAGTGTGTACATACAAACATTGTGGAATTGCTCCATTACTACGTAGCTACTCAGCTTTACTGTCCTGCTCACTACTGTGTTATTTTGACGTAGGATTACGTCTTTCGGCAACATATTGAGGGTGCAATTTAAAAAAACCAAAATCGACCGCATTACGAAAAGTGGTCAGGTTTTGGCCACATATAACTCTGTCAATAGTAGATGGATTTTAATTCTAAACAAGCCAAACGATTGGAAATGTATCTACCAATCTAGGTATATCAATAGGTCACTATTGAAAAATACACAAATGTCCAACTGTAGCAATGGTGATCAAAATTATCACCGATTGCCTGCAAACAGTGCATTCCCTTTCACAGATTTAAAAATCGAATTCGATCCTGTATCACTGAACGGTGCTCATTCAATCACCGTTTGTGGTGGTGTCCGGTCGCCGGTGTCCGCAGAAGCAGCATCAACAGCAGCAGTGCTTTCGGCGTGTGGCTTTGAACATTGTTCTCCAGTACACAACGAAAGGCAGACTGTAAGCAGCGAGCTGAAGAGCCCACATGAGCATCCATAGAAGGAGGAAGAAGCCGCACCGCTATGGATGGAAATCAGTTTCCTCGTGAGTAGCTGTGGGTCATCAATGCCTAGCGCGTCAACCTTGCTCCAAACAATATACAGCTCACCAGCCTCATCCGTGTTGAACACTCTAATAGCTCAGCATTATTCAACCATCACAACAAAACGGTTCTTTTCCGGACCACCATAAATTTGCTTAAGAGTATGTTTTGGACATTTGTAAAGGTCATCCATCGGATGTCAGTTCCGCAAGCAGCTAATAGCGAATTCGTTTATTATTCAGTTCCAACCTGGATCGGGTATCAAGATTGGGTCTGCTTGTTTTCTGACAAACGTCAGTTTGCTCGTTTGTTTTTAAAACCTAGCTCAGGTTGAGGTTCACACTAACAAAAAGTTCGGTTTCGCACTGGGTTGGAACTGGTGTTAACCCCGATAATAAACGAATTCGCTATAACTATCAAGGCTCAACCTGGTCTATAAAAGGTGTAGAGTTATAGGCCTGAATGTATTGGTGCAATTCGTTTTTCACTCGGCTTTCATTCCGCTTCGCACGATTCGTTTCTTTCGTTTACTCAATTACCCTTGTAGTGACGTGATAGGAGATTTAATATGAATTATAGAATTTTTGATGTTACCAAAACTTATGAATGGTCTGCCACTAAATGTTGAGATAATTTGTTGATATTCAATACCATGAAAAAGCAGCCTGTTTGTAAGTTCCAAATAACATACAACTCGCCAGCCTTATCCGTGTTAAACACCCTAATAGATCAGCATTAATTAACCATCTCGACAAAACGGTCCTTTTTTATTATCTATTGAATAGAACAAAAATGCCGTGCGTTTTGTCATCAGAAAACGAGGCGTTTTCGTGGTGATGGGAAAAGTGGTTTCTCTAACACAGTCGCCAAATATTGATACCACGCACTGAGCATGCCAGACGGTACCAAACTTTATGCATTTTGGTGCAAATTTTAGGCCCTCCTATTAAGAGCATTACGCCAAAAAAAACTTGCTGAGTTCTCTTAATATAAGGGGCCTAAAATTTGCATCACAAAGTGTAAACGTAGGTACCGTCCAGTAGGCTCAGATTCTGTGATAGATGTGTTTTCCCTAATACCTACATATTTCATTTCCACACCACTATCATTTCCAAAAACATCTAGGGAAAATTTCCACAGTATTGTTCTTAACAAGCTTCCAAGCTTCCAACCCATCGGTACTTTTAAGGACCACAAATGACTAATAAAAGAGTAAACTAAAGAGTAAGAGCTTGAATTCAAGACATATCGTCCAGGATTGGCATGGCTTGGCTTCATGAACATCGATAGATCACCTCAAAAACAGAACTCTCAAATTGCTTCCGAATTTCAACCTATGGAAATTTTTCACTGATAACGAGTTAAAAAATCAATTACTATACTTTTGCTGTGATATCATAACTACCTACGTCAAATTTACGATCGTGTCTTGGAAACAATCTCTTACTTTTTTTTAGTCAGAGGAGCGTAACGACGGGCAAGAGTCTAGGTGAAACTTCTAAAAGAAGATTATAATGATTCTAAAAGAAGGATCCAGAGAAAGCTTAGAACTTAAGAAGATTATTATAGAATTTAAAGAAGTCTTAAAATTCCGTTTAAATGTTTTTGGTCAATTATATTCTTTTAAACTTGTTCTCTTCTTCTCCTCAGATTCGTTTTTATTTTAACCAGAATAC